CAGCGCCAAGTGCTGAGCGCGCCCCGCCCCTGCAGCGCCCGGAGCATCCCCGCGGCGGCCGAGCCGGACAGGTGCGGGGGGCACGGGGCTGGAGGGGCAGCGCCCCCTCGCGGGGGCCTGTTGCCTGGGCGCTCCCACGCGGGAGGGCTTCCCGCCCTCGGGCCGGGCTGCAGGGGGCCTGTTGGCGGGGTTGGCATGGGGCAAGAGGTGCCTCCTCGGGTCCAAGGGCGCTACCCTGCTGTCCTTTGCTGGCTAGGTTCCCCTTGGGTCGCCATGCTGATCAAGGAGTACCACATCCTCCTGCCCATGAGTCTGGATGAGTACCAGGTGGCCCAGCTCTACATGATCCAGGTGAGGGGACGGTGTTTTGCGGGACGGGCAATACATGGCTTGAAGCGCTCCTTTTGGGGCCCAGGCTGGGCTCCACAGAAGGTGGGGGCGCTCTGCATGGCGTTTGGGAGGGTTGGTCCATGGGGTGGACTGGGACACGCCTGTTTGATGGGGAGGTGGGGCTGCTCTGCAGGGTTGGTCCGTGGGGCAGACTAGGATATGCCTGCGGGATGGGAGGTGGGGATGCTCTGCATGGGGTGTGGGAGGGTTGGTCCGTGGGGCGAACTGGGATATGCCTGCGGGATGGGAGGTGGGGATGCTCTGCATGGGGTGCGGGAGAGTTGGTCTGAGGCAGACTGGGATACGCCTGTGGGATGGGGAATTTGGGTCTGTGCACAGAGCACAGACTGCGGGTGTCGGCAGTGGTGGCCGATGAGCTGGGCTCGAGCAGGAGGGCAGCTCAGGACTGACACAGTGGCTTTCCCTCTGCAGAAGAAGAGCCGGGAGGAGTCGAGTGGGGAGGGCAGCGGGGTGGAGATCCTGGCCAACAGGCCCTACAGTGATGGCCCGGGGGGCAGCGGTCAGTACACCCACAAAATCTACCACGTGGGCTCTCACATTCCCAGCTGGTTTCGAGCCCTGCTGCCCAAGGCGGCGCTGCAGGTGGAGGAGGAGTCCTGGAATGCCTACCCCTATACACGCACCAGGTGGGCCACGTGGCTTGCGTGTGGGCCAGGGAGAGGGTGCAAAAGAGGTGCATGTGGTGGTGGAGGCAGGGGGGCCTTGGGAGTGGGGGTGCATGACTGGCGGGGGTGCGTGGGCTCTTGGATTCTGGAGGGAAGGAGTTGGTGGTGGGCAGCTACTGTCCACTGGGGCAGACTTGTTGGGTCTCCTCTTCTTCCCACTGTGTGATTGTGGGCATTCAGTCCTGGAGTCACCTCAGAGGCCTTGGCAACACTGGAGGGGGCAGGGGAGTCTAGTACAGGGCAGAGGTAGCTGAGGTCACTACTGGGGAGAGTTGGCTATCCCTGCATCACACGGCACTGCCTCCTCTCTGAGGTCCTTCCTCTCAAGCTGGCTCCCACCTTTCAGATACACCTGTCCCTTTGTGGAAAAGTTTTCCATCGAGATTGAGACTTACTACCGGCCCGATGCTGGCCAACAGACAAACATCTTCAACCTCGGTGCTGCAGAGAAGAGGCAGAGGATTCTGGGTGAGCAGTGCTGCCAGGCTTGGGGCTGTTCCTGCTGGTACCTGACCTTGTGGGCTGAGCTGCCGGTGGGCTGTCTGGTAGTGCTGGATAGAGTTCTGTGTTGAAGAATGGCTTCTCTGGTATGTCACCTCCTGGTGGGGAGGAGGGAGGGGATGCAGGACAGTGTGGATGTGGACATATGGCATGATGTGGCTTGGGGGCTACACTGCTTTTGCAGCAACTGAACTAATGCAAGTTCTCAGTGGAGTTCTTGCAGAACTGTGGCACCCAATTTCAGGCTTGTCTCAGGAAAAAACGATATCAGGGCAGGTGTAATGTGGATATGCTCAGCATTGCAAAGAACTACAATCCCCAGAGCTTACAGCCCCTGGCTGTAAAACAGTCTTGACTCATTTCCAGGTTATGTGGAATCTTTTTCAGCAGAAAAACTCTCCCTGAGTGTGGAGAGTTGTTAACTTCCTCCCTCTGAGAACCAGAATGCCTCTGGAAGTCGGGCAGTAAACATTTAGGGTACATGTCCCTCATTCCCCACCCTCCTCAACACAATTTTGACTCTTTCTTCCCCTCCCCGCCTTCCTTCCCCACAGGAGCATCTGACCCCTGCCTTTGGAGTGCAAATCTGGGACTTGTGGAGACAGGGTAGATGTCCTTCCCCAGTTTGAGCTCCTCAAATCTAATTGGCAGCACTGCTGCCCACCAGGGCTAGGGAAGTGCGCTGAATGGAGTGGGGCTAATGGGAACCATTTAGTGGAGTGTGAGTGGGAGCTGAGGAGAGGGTACTCTGACCTGGAGAGATCAAGTTTGCCCCATAGTGGTGCTTAAGCTCTGTATATTCTGTGCCCAGTGTTCTGTAGTGCTTGGGAAGGGACTCTGTGGCTCCCCTTCTCCCAACCCCCTCCTCCCCCTTGGCTCTTCTACTGCAGGAAGGATCCTGGAATGCCAGTTTGTGAATTTGGGGTTCTGAGGCACTTCTGCATGAGGGCAGAGAACAGGTCTGTCTGCAGGCTTGATGTGCACCTTCTAGTTGTTTTTTTTTTTTTTTTTCCTCTGTTGTTCACAGAGGTATAAGTCCATTCCTCCAGCCTAAAAGGGTGCAAGGCAGTTACAGAAGGTCACTTGCTTCTACCTGATCTGATTTTTTTTTTTCCTTAGTTAATCCCCTGGTTGCATCCTTGACCCTAGCCAGGGAAAGCACTGGCTTCAGGGTGGTCCCTTCCCTGCCTGTACTCCAGCCTGAACCTCCCTGGGAAAGCAGATGTGGGCGCAGGAAGAGC